AAAACAGAAATAAACTAAATAACTAACAACCGAGAGTAACTACATTGTCAGGTTAAATTAACCAGATTACATACGAGGACAGAGAAGTGTTTGCTGAAATACTGTAGGCAATAAAAGGTAACGTAATTTATTTTAAAATGTAATTTTAATATAGAGTGACCCTTGCAGTCTAATCGGTTTGATAACCCAATAGCATCTTTACAGCGATGGGGGAAGATGTTGAGATATTTCATCCTGGTCACAATCCATTTTTCTGTTATTTCAACAATACTGACATCCCAGAAAAATACCTTAATTTGTGGGGCTTTTTAGAACCACCAGGGCATACGAAGCTTAAACGCCCTTTTTGCCTGCTCTGTGCTGGCATCCAGCAGACTGCAGGGAAAGGACTAGTGGTTAGGAAGTCCATCTTGCAGCTTTGCATCCATCTGACAAGTTCACACTGGAAGGAACTGGCTTGAGATTCTGGACTTCGATTAATCTGTTCTACTCCCTGTGAATACAGTAATAACTTCTGATTCTGTCCATGGCAGAAAAATTCCTCCCCTTTTCTCTTAGCAGAGATTCCTTTTGCCCCAAAATTAATTTCAGTCTTTTTCCCCAGGGAACATTTCATTCTTCTTCCCCCTACTTATAATCTGCCAGCCATACTAGGAGAGAGGATGGAAATGGAAGGATGAGTTCCTGACTGGTTGCTCAGGATATCTCACGAGGTGTTGCCCTATCTTGATGTTGTTGCATGGTTTGGCATGCAGCATTAGGACTGCAGCACCACTCTTGGTGCTTGCCCAGCTGTACATGGAGTCATGCAGACCTGAAATCTGCGTTCCCGGCAGGCTACCTAGGGAAGGCATGAGTAACAAATTCACAATGCCTTGACGACTAGCCTTTTTTTTTTCTCTTTACTTTAAAATGTTACTTCCTATTGAAAATTATACCAGAATTGCTTTACTATGGTTTTCACCTGATCAACTGAGAGATCTGTAATTCTGCATCAATATATTTTGATTCTTTTGGAGACATAATAAGAATCTCCAAACAGCATCTATTTAGCCATATTCTTCAGCACATATGATGATCTTTTTTCATTGCATCAGCCAAACTGTTTTATTTTTCCATTAATCGAGATGAGTTTTGGTTTGTTTTTAATATGTTTGAAGACAAATACTTGAATCTAGCTTCTTATATTGATAAGTAATATTGGACTTAAAAAAGACTGTTTTAGTGATAAAAAACAAACTAGCAGATACAGGTATTTGTTTACCATTGGTTTACTTACTCTATAAGTTGAAGTGTATTTTTGATACATTTTTCATTATGAAGATCAGATTTTTAGATCAGCAGTGTTATTTTTATGTGGGGTTTTTTCCAGTTTTGTAGATTCAGTTAGTCACAGGATTTGTACTTTCTGCTTGATTCTCTGGTTTAAATATTGTTTAAAGACCAAGGATCCACAGCTCCATCTCTTTCTGAATGACTACAATACGTTTTTCACTGTGACTCCGAGTGGCATCACCCGCTACCTCACCCTGCTGCAGCCTGTTGACAGAGAAGTCCAGCAGCTTTATACCTTCTCGGTAAGCTAAACACATTTGGAAGCACATCGTTCATTGTTCAGAGCCAGTGTTGAAAAATTATTAGTTATAACATCATTGTAAATCATTAAAATGGCACAGAAGAAGACAAACTGTGGAGGAAGAGCAGCAGCAATACTGGGGAGCGGTAACTGGGGTAGTATGCTCTTCCAAAAGACATGTGTTTGGTTTAATAGCAACCTTTTAGATCCCACTACCAGCTTCATCTCCATGGTCCCTGGACTATATCCTGCTCCTCACCACCCTCCCATGACACAGTCTGACTCTTCTCTTTTGTACCTGCCCTGGCCTTTGAGGCCACCTTTGCCTTTTCTTTTCTTGGCCCTTGAGCTTGGAATATCATGCCTGTGTTGGCCTTTCTGCTCTATTTTGGTACAAAATAAAAAAGTAGGCTAACATAAACCACAGCCAGCAGTATTTAAAAAAGAAAAAAAAGAAAAAAAAAAAGCTTAAACGGACTTAATACTCCTTCAGGCATTTCCCAGTCTGTGAGTAAAAATCTTAACAGCCCTAAAGCAATTTGCAAATGTGCTGCAGGGAAACCCTGTTCCTCTGCAGAGATTTCCAATCGATGCCTCCGCATTTTCTGTCCTTTTAGCATTTGAAAGGAGAGCTCAGATTTTCTCTATGGAATAAGTAGGCCTCTAGCTCTGTAAATCCCGCTCTTTGAGGTTTAACATGTATATAGCATCTCCTGTGCCTGGCCGTGCCCAGGCGAGACTTGCAGTGTCAGGTTTGTGTAGCTGTGGCCAGACCCTGCTCCTTGAGGGTGTTCAGCGCAGCTGGGGATGGGCTCTGCCTTTCCTGGCATTGTCTGTAGCTCAGATCCCAGCCCCAACCCTGGGAAACAGTTATTCACTCTCATTTCTGCTGCTAATCTGACACAGTATGTTTTAAAAGCATGGTTTCATTTTGCTTTTGCCCTGAGTCTTGTACAGTGCAAGCTCAAGCTCAGCTGAAGCCTCCAGTAATTGTAAGTGCAGACAAAAATGAAAAAAAAAATGCTGATTTTTAGTTGTCATACTGTATTTTCTCATAGTTGTAATTGTATTAAGGACATACCATTAAAATATGTTCCTATTCTGCTTTTTTTTTTATTTTACCCTGAAGATGACAGCTTCTGATGGTGTACAGGAGAGTATCCCAGTGACAGTCAATATCGTGGTGCTTGATGCAAATGATAATTCCCCGACCTTCTCCAATATATCATACAATGTCAAGATTTATACAGATATGAGGCCTGGGGAAGGCATTATAAAGGTAACTTCAGGTCTTTTATTAGCTTTGTTAACTCACTTTTTGTTTAGCAGTAGATGGTCTTGTTAATAGAAATTGGAAATGCACTGAAAGCAGCTGGAAATGAAGTTTGTGTATCTCATCTGCTTCATTAGTTACATAGCTATTTAAAAGTTGCTACAGTTCAACTATTTAATCTGAAGTTTTACAAAACCTTTTCATCTGAAAATTCTCAAAAGAAAAAAAAATATTCTCCGTTATTAATGGGATATTGAACTAAAACAGTTTAGTAGAACATAACCAGAAATGTTTTACCATGTCATAAAAACTTTTGGTTTTTATAGAAGCCGAAGTTGTTTGTTCGTAGAGCAAATGAGCAGTGAAATAAGAGTTGAATACAGGTCCAGAGAGAGAAGCAGTTTTAATTAAAGTTTGCAGGCACTGATTTATGTTTCTGCCCAGACTGGCTCTACTGAAGTTAATGGAAAAAGGCTTTTTTGGGTGATAATTCTTCTAAGATCTCAGCCATGCTCCTGAGTGCTTCCAGTCTAGATGAATGGGAAGGCAAGATGTTGTTAGTGGAGGTCAGGTTTCAAGGATGGTAGAAGGCAGTGGGAGTATGGGGGGAGGGGATTAATCAGATGGCTTAAGTAATAAAATACCATTTTCTGAAATGTAATCAGGGATTAAGCATTTGACGGTAGAAGTGATTTAACGGTATTAGGAAATAGTTCAGTCTCTGTTCTGGCATGTGCCCTACTTGAGCTGTAGTGACTTGCTGCATTTGCTAACTTTGGATCTTCATTAATGTTACTGTCGTCTTTTCATCAGTCAGGGCTACAAGTGCTTAAAATGCATCAGTGAGAGCCATGGGGACATTTTCAGCAAGATTTGAGGGCAAGAAAGAGTTTTAAACCTAATTAAGTTCCTTCAAGCTATGAACAAGACTGTGTGTGGAAAAAAAAAGAGAAACCAAATACTGTTGTTCTGAATGAGCAAAAGGCAGGTAGAGCTGTGTGTAGAGTTTGACATCAAGATCTGTATTTGCAACATCTCATGAACTCTTAACGCCCTGTATAAACATGTGGATTTTGCGAGTACGATATATTCACTTGATATATAAGGCAGAGATACACACAGTGCAGAAAAAACTTAAATCAAGTTTTTTTTTTCTTCAAGCATAAGCACTCTAGTCCAAAAATGAATCATCAGGGTTATCACATGGCCTTTGTTGTACAGGGCATCAGGCAAAGTAGTGTGCTATGGATTTTAAGTATCTGAGTATCTAAATTGTTTTTCCTCTTAAAGAAGGTGCATGTGCCAGAAAGCACAAGGCAGAAGATGTTGCTAAATGGGATTGCAGCATGAGTGAAAAGAATGGTTTCAGTACCCAAGGTTGGCCTTAAGGATGCTCTGAGCTGCCTGAGTTGTGTTTATGATACTTGGGATGAAGTAGAGCAGCTACTGTGCTTTTCTAAAACAGCTGCTATGCTAAAGTACTTTAGTGTTCAAAGGGAATGTGATGTTCTGAGGGTTTATGCTTTCTGGTGTTTCAACTGCAAATATTTTTCAGACCCTGGAGGCATGCAAAGAGCAGGAGTACAAAGTCTTCAGTAAATTGTTCGTTCTGAGAAAAAGCAAGTTCAAATGCTCTGCAAGTCCATCTGTGTTAGCCCGTGCCACCAGAATTAGTTTAGCAGAGACACAGATTACTTCTTTGTGAGCAGGTTTGCTCTGAGAGACTATTATGTTCCTGTTCCTCCACTGCCCATCATAGCTTTTGCCTTTTGCCTTCCTACACTGATGCTGTGTAACTGCTTCTATAAAGAGCATCCATCAGATCAATGATATTATGCAGGTTAGAAACATTGCAAGGACAAAAAAAGCATAGGGGCAGAAATACTAAGAAGAAAAATATAGATGTGAATATTGTGCAGAGCATTTGAACTTAGCTAATGCCTGAAGTAGATCTGGAACAGGTCCCTTGTAGAATGACATTGTGAAGTTGGAAATGAGTAGTGGGGAAGTCAGGCTTTTAAACTAGCCTTTGTTTAAAATTACTTTGGAAAACATAAGAGTTCTGAGAGCAAGTTTTTTTCCCTCCTCCACACTTCTGTCTGCAAGGTCAACACATGGTTACTTTCAGACTATGTGAGTTTATAATGTGGTCGGAGGTGGAGGGTAGATAATTCTGGCTGTTGTGAGAGAGGGGTTGTTTTTCAGCTAATCTTACGTTGCCACATGATCTGAGTTTATAAGCAAACTGACATAAAAAAAGCTAAGAGTCATCTTAGATTTCTGAATAGTGTGATAATGCCAGTAATAATAATATTAGGCTGCTGGGGTATTTGGAAAGTTGGTCACCTTGTTATTTTTCCCAGGCTGCAGGAGTCTTTCATTCAGTGTTACAGGAGTGTGAGAGAAGGGATTTGTCTTGTGGGATTATGAATAGCCACAAAATCTGTGGTACCAAGAATGCCCATGGGCTTCCTTAGGCCGGGAAGGTAGATATGTGCTGCCTAATCAGTGTTTGCTTTTGCTTTATAAAAATCTTCTTAAATGAAAAACAGACTTTTAATTTTTTTTAAACTGCTAATACAGTGATTTTGATGAAATACTTAGCTTATTGTCTGTATGCGGAACAAACAAATCTTGTGACCCTGTCTCATCATTGGTTTAAGAATCAGTTGACATTCTCTGCTGTGAGATGACGATCAGTTGTGATATTTTCCAGAGGAAAATGACCTGGGTCAGACATGATTAGTCCGTAAAAAAAATTTTCTCTGATCAGAGAAAATAGGGTAGAAAAAGAACAATTTCCTCAGTGAATCTGTATAATCTCATAATTATTTACACATAAGCACTGGCTTGCACTTAAATCTCTATCGAGACTTATTTTCAGAGATGATGAAGAAAATATTTCCTTTATGAAGTATGTCGTCTTGCTACAAAAATGCAAATTTCTGGTATAGCAGTACAAGTGCTGTCATGTAGTTGCCATTTTGCTTTTATTATCCTGAGGGTAATAGGGGATTAAGATCCTTTTTCTTTTTTCTCTCAGTGCAGTTGCGTGAAAATGTACAAATAACCCCAGTTTGTGCTTGGTTGTTGTCCCATTTTGTGGGAAATTATTTTGATTTTTACTCCTGAAAAAACACTCCGAACATAATAATTAATAGTTTAGATTGTGTTTGCTGTCTGGTACACTCTTAAAAAAAAGTAAATTAAAAAAATCCTTGGGTTCTGCTTGAAAATTACCACAAATAGCAGGAAAAAATTATTAATTACAAGTGAAATTCAATTTTTTTATTTCCATTTTTTTCCCCCCTGTGGGTGGTTAAAGTAAGGCATTTCCTTACTTTACGTGTTGCCTTTAAGAGAAGTGAGCAAAACAGTGGAAATAAATGTGTGCTACTGAGTTGCATTGGTTTCATCTGGGAGCCTGGTAGTGGTGGGTAACCTACTTTTGCCTGCCAGTTGTATATTAGCTGCAGCTTTGCATGGCTGCTTGTGTATTTTTTCAGAAAGTTGGTGGGTATCATGACAGAGGAGCTTGCCTCCTTTGTAGGAACAACCTCCCCCCCACTTTCTGAGGATGCAGAGGGGAGCATGAAATCTCTGCTCCCTGACTTCTTGGGCAGGGACTGTGGCAGTACCATTGGGGTGCTGAAAACTGATTTGGTCTGGAAAGTTTTTGTTTCTATTGTCTACTCAGAGTACTTGTGAGATTGTCTGAGGCCTTCATTGAGGAGAGTATTTGCTCAGTTAAGTTTAAATGTCTGTATACTATGTCCCTTTCAGCTTGAGACTTCATCTGATTTTTCCTTCTGCTTTTATAGGTATTTTACTGTGCTCCCTGAGAGACACAGTAGCCAGTTGAGAAATCTGTAATTTAAAACAGTTAAATGTGTGGTAAATAATAATTATCACTAGAAAGACTTATTAATAGTAAATCTATTAAAGTACTTAATTCCTTATTTTTTATATTATTATAATTTTGCTGTCATTTTCCACTTTTCTGTTAGTACTCTCTTCCTGTGATTCAGATATTTAAACTAGTTATGCATTGATGGTTGGAGTCTGCAGCAGTAGTGCAATAACATTTCTCATAAATAATTTAAATCCACTCTGTTTCTTTAGATATCTTTCACTTCTATACACAGCATGAACTGTGCAGGGCACAGGGAATCCTGAGCAAGAAAATGAGAGAGCTGAGAAGGGGCAGAGGATGGCAAAAAACGTTATTCACCTAAATCTTTGCGTAAATTTGCCTGAAGGTGAAAGACTTCCTTGGCCTATGAAGAGATTTTATGTATGTTCTCTTCACAGAAAACTCCTGAACTGGCCTTAAGAAGTATATGCTCCTCTTATCCTGCTTTAAATCTATCAAACCAAAATAACCTATTTTAATTTATCTATGTGTCTTAATTTGTAACTCATTTCCTGTTGCAGAGGTATGACCAATGTGAAAGGGCTTTCTTACAGGAACAACTGAACAACTCCATGACTGACAATGGAAAATAAGCTATGCAGTGGATTAGTGCGTTACCTGTTCACCTTGTGCGAGCTAAAACCATTCTACCTAATATCACCAGTGCAAGTTAATTTGGAGATCCTGCCTCAGGTCTTGGTTACGCAGAGCACTTCAGACATCACAGCATAAATGGCCATTGCACAGAAGGTCAGAAATGAAAGCAAAAAGATAAAACATGGTAAAACTACAGGCAGTAAATTTTCTATCACTTATTTCTTGCTCGCAGTAGAATTAGTCTTGAGCGGTAACAGTGCTTTCAATTGTACACAGGGACAAATTTTATTTAGACCCATTAAATAAATAGCTCCTTTGGGACTGTTTTGTCGTTACCTCAAATGCGGCTTCTCAGTGCTGGATCACTTTGTCTCTTTTAAGCAGGTTTTTTTCATTCCCTGCACACACACGTGTGACTCGAGACATCTTTGCATACAGATGCATACTAAACTATGTATTAAAGGCACGTTTGGCTATTTGAAGCTTGGCATATACTCATGGTTTACAGCTCTTAAACATGCATCTTGCAGTAAAGCCACAGAACAACTTTGAGGATATCTTTTACAAAGTCATCTCTGAACCATACTTAAGGTTTTATTTATGTGGTTATTTGCAAACCTCTGCCTTCAGTCCATCAGCATACTAATTTCTAACTACAGAGTAAACTTTATTAGCAGAAACAGAAAACAAAACTGGGTTATGTTTGTATTTCTTTGTAAATGCACTTATATACTTGAGTAAAAATATAATGGATAGGGACTTGATGAAATGTCTCAAGGAAGGTGTTGAAAAAGAATTTTGACCTACTCTGTTAGTGTTACATTTCATTAGCTCAAGTTCAAGAACATCTCCATGACAATCCTGTTTACTACTGATGCGTAGAAACTCATTACTGCTTTTCCTAGTGCAGCTCATGGCTGAGTTGTACTGCTGAGCCCCAGAAGGATGAGGAGGGTGTGTAGTTACCATCTAAGTTCTGGCAGCTCAGTGTTTTTCAGTGGTGTGCTGCTCCAGAGGGCAACTGTACTTTTTCCCTGACACTGTTAAACATAACATAAATGTGTACGGAATGTGGCTCTGGAGCCTTGCACTTACTTGACTGGAACACTTGTTTCAAGGAGAGCCACTGGGAGGCGAACCAGCATGACTCAGGGTTTCTGCAGGACTCAGTTTAGGTCGGTATGAGTCAGACCAACTTTGCTGAACATTTAATTTGCTGAAAGATGTAGGGCTACTGGAAAGGTTGGTAATCACTTTATCTGTTCAGGGCAAGGTCACTAAAAGTGTTATTGCAGAAAGGGTGAAGGTCAAATGTTGAAACCTATTTTCCTCCAAGTATGAAGTGAATCTGAACAAAGCATATAGTGACCAAGAACATGGTTTTGTAAGCCAGAAGACTGTCATTGTATGTCTCGATTTCCTTCCAAGAAAACTGCTTCTTGCTGCAACAGGATATGCACCTATTTTGCAAAACTTTCAAAATATTACATTTTAATGTAATGAAGTTGATATGGCTGGAATTAAAAAAAATTCTTAGGAGAGTAAAGTAAATCTTGTTTTGTACTTCCTTCTGTATATTTTAGACCGTGTTTCTCAAATCCTGTTAACTATGAAGCTCTGTCGGTCTGGGACAGCTGGAAACAGAATTTATAGAAGCGTATATTATGGCAGCTATTAAACTTTAATTCTATTTTTGATTTCTGTTTTTGCCCCCAAAATGTTATTCAAATCACTTATCTTTTCAAGCATTCAGTATTTCTAAGTTTAATTGACCTTATTAAGCTATGTACTTGTGTAGTCAATTAATTTCCTCTTTCATGTCATCACAGTAAAAACTGGCCTTGTTCCAAATCCTGCCGTTAGGACCTTGTGTTTTGCAAAAGCTTTTATTTATCTTTTTGTGTGTGTACTTTTGAAGTTCAGTAGAGAAGTTATTAACAGCACTTGACTATGTCACTTGGTTTGATAGTTACTCTTTGTGAGGTTAGTGAACACAGGCAGTTGTGTGTAGAAACTATAGAATGAGTGATTAAAGAAACAGGCTTTGAGAGGAGTTTAAGCTCTAAACCCTAGAAGGGTGCAGAAAGTCTGCTTTATATGCTGAGTTTTGGTGGGCTGAGACTGACCAGTGCAAGCTAATATATTGATATGCCAAGGCATCATATGGATGAAAGGCAAAACACATTCCAAAAGTGTAATCTTTATAGGATAACTTTTTCAGAATTTCAAAAGAAGATATGGAATGAGATTTGTTCTCCAAAAATAAGACATGGATTTTAATTTGTTTTTTAAACTTCTAAGAGGAGATGATCTCTGCTTCATGATTTTTTAAGGTATTTCAGGTGTTCACCCTGTGTTCAGTATACAGTATGCCTCAAAATACTATAGGAAGATGAATTAAGAAGTTTTTCTCATTCTAGTGCAACACTGATCAGTCTGCATTGTTGGAGGGAAGCAATGAAAGAAATTAAATCAAAATCTGCTTAGATAAATTAAAGTTAAATACTTTTGTGTTGGAAATTTGCTTTGGATCAGCATGCTGTGTATGAAAGAAGCAGAACAGCAATTACTTCACGAGAAAAGTAAATTAACTAACATGCTTTTCAGTTAATGAATACTGCATACAACCTGTTCCGTGTTAAAAATAGTTGGTCCTCCATAGAGTAGCTCAGTCTCCAGCAGCAGTAATAGCTTGCACTCCTAACAAAGAATGTGAACCCCACTTTTGTTAATATACCAGAATCACTTATCTTTCAGCATTTCAATTTGTTTATTCAAGTTTTTGACTTCTCGTATGAAATTTCGTAATTCAGGGAGCCTACGTGCATAAAGAATTGAGATTATCCTTTAAAGCAGCTAGATCCACGAGTTTTTCACATGCTTCCCTTAGTGTTTAATGTTGTATGCAAATGTTATAAATTTAAGTATTACAGCTTTGGGTTTCATTCTTTATCGCCTTTCTTGTTTTAATGGCGAAGTTTGGTTTCTGCTCTTCCAGTTCTTTACCTATCCTTGGGCAAAGGTGGTTTGAAAGTTGTAGACAGTGCTCTGAAAGGCTGTGACCTGCTGAAGGTTGAGTGTGATGCTATATTGATTAATAGATTACATTATATCCTAATGTAGCAGACAGTTCAATGAGTTCCTCTGCCTCTCTGCACTGCTGTCAACTTTGAGTGTCACAGGGATGAGGAAAGGGTATCTGGCAGGCAGACATTTAGCCTGCTGTGTTTGCTGGCCCTGGCTGAGATAACGTCTGTTGATCCTGCCATCACTTTCACAGTCATCGCTAAGGTTTTGTGTCATTGTACTCACAATCCTATGTGCAGTGCTGCCAACTGGCATGAGCATTCATGTCAAAAAAGCCAAAGTAGACATGCCAGCAGAGACTTTTCAAAAAGCTACTTGTCTGGTGTTTTAGTTCCCCCCTCACCCATCCCCCCCCAGTTCTCACTGTAGGAGCCCTGCAGCGAGTAATTTCTGAGGCTGGGATTTCTTATAGCTTTATATACCCAGAGAGGGCTCTGCTGCTGCCCCTTGCCATTTCCCACCTCGAACGGCTCAGCTGCAGCTGGGAGCAGCAGGAGCCCGTTGTGCCATCATTCCCTGTCATTTCCACTCCACCGCTGTTGGTACCAGGTAGCTGGGTGCACAGGCAGTGCTGTCACTGCGTGCTGCGACCTCCTAGATGTTCAAGTACTGCTCGTACCGCTTTATGTCATCCTGTGCACTGCTTGGGGTAATATACAGTCACACAAAATGAAGAGCCAACTGAGAAACCAGTGTGTGTATCAGCAAAATAAGCCCTATGGGAAGAAGAAATTCACCTTAGAAAGTCCAGAGGTACTGCTGTAGTTTCGTCAGTACTTTGATGACTCAACCCTAAATGTAACAGGATGCTGTGCTCCTTTTTGTTTTCTGATTATGGTGATAATTAAGATGCAATTTTAGTCATAGTAATACAGGTCAAGTGCTAGGCACTGTGAGCAGTTTGCTGTGTGATTACAAGTCATATATAGAATAACTTGTGTTATTCTGTGTATGAGTAAAGGAAGAGGTGAAAGGGCTTGTCTATGGCATGGGGCTGTCCATTGGTGTGACTGAGGTGTGGATGCATATTTCTGACTGTGTTATGGCAGGGGTCCTATTTGAAATCTCAGATTGCTAGTTATTTGCTTTATGGCATGGCAGTCAGCATCATTGGTACTTTACACTTGGCTAAAAGCAAACAAATATGATTACTGAGCTATATTTTCTGGCTGTGTGTGTAAATACATGATTTAGCATGGCACACTACAGAAGTGGGATTGCCTTTCCCAGGGGGAAGATAAGAACCCCCTCATTTCATTGCATTCGTCATTATAATTGGAGTCTATAATATTAGGCCTTAGATTTCTCTCATGCTCAGAATCAAAATTGTAGAATTATCTAGAAGAAACACTACATGCACAAGTAATCACAGTCCCAGTAGAGAGGTGGTGCAGAGGCAGCAAAGCACAGAAATACACGCTTAGTTGCATTTATAACACAGCTCTTGAGATTGCCTCCACAAGCACAGCCTTTAAGGTGCGTGGTGTCATGCTGCCACGTGAAATGGGACTTGCACGTCTGTCATTAGCGTGGTTGAGTTTCCTGCGTGTGTATCCATATGGGAACAGCTGCCATTTCCCTTCCACTCAGCTTCCTTTACAGTACGTGCACACATGAGTAATACAAACATTGTTCTCCAGTTCCACACAACAAGGGCTTGCAATGAGAGGCCTGGATATTAGAATTTCTGGCAGCAACAAGCCTGTCACTTTGAAAAGTGTAGAGAGAATGGGAACTTCCAGTAATTAAATATGATTCTCTTGTTATGTGTGCAACACAACAAGTATCATCTTCCCCCCACCCACTTTTATAGGAAATGTTACAAATTCCAATCCACAGAGAGTAAACTTGGTCTTAGTTAGTTTTCTTAATTCATATCTTAATATAATTTGCTTGCAATCTTAGGTAAACAGTTTTTCTCTGTTTCATGACATATTTACACCTATTATCCTTCATTTAAATTGTATCCTTTTTGTACAGTAATTAGAAATTACTGCATATGTTACAGGTGTTTAAGTTTCCCCTCTACTTCCTCTACCCCTACTGAGTTACCTTACAAAAAACTATTAAAATACAACACTGAACCTTGCATGCTGACATTCTGGTTTTGAATTGCAGCTCACTGCTGTAGATGCCGACGAGGGACCCAATGGACAGATAGTATATGAAATTTTGGCTGGGGATCAGGGAGACTTCATCATCAATGACCGAACAGGCCTTATCACCATTGCTTCAGGAGTTGTATTGTCTGTGGGGCAATCCTATGCTCTCACTGTCAAAGCATCTGATAGTGCTCCTCCTGCGCAGAGAAGGTAATTCATCTTATAATGAAAGTAATTTTTTAATTGGTGCTCACATAAGAAGTGTGACACACCCTTATGTCTCCAATTCCTTACTGGAATACAGTTTAATGTGTTCTGTTTGGTGTAAGGATCGCAGTTTGGAAAAGTGTATTAAAAGTCTTTGACTTTTTGGTCCATATTTATATTTTCCTTACAGTACACAGTCTTCATTATTTCTTTTGCTTGTAAATGGTGTATTTTTTACAAGTTCACATGTTGTCCTGTCATTGTGCATGCCCATTTGTTAAGAGAAATCCAAGTGAAGGGATGTAAGGAAGAAAGCAAGTGAGAAGGCAGATGCTTTTTGTTCAGAATACAGCTTGCAGTGATGCAGAAGGGATCAGAAATAGTCTGGTTGCTGAGCCAGAGACTTTCTCTCCAGGTATAGGGTATGCAGGGTCATCCAGACTTGGCCTGCTGTGGACATACTTGACAAGCTGTGCCAACAGTGGGCAGTGTCCCCACTGAGACTTAAATTCTCAGTAGCAGAATTATCAGCTGTTGCAGAACAGAAATAAAAGAAAAGCGTCTTGCAAATTCAGTATGGGTAGAACAGCACGTTCTTATGTTCAGAAAAAAAAAAAAGAATCATGTCCCACTTACCTGCTGCTTTTGAATGTGTGTTCTGCATGTGACAACTATGTATTGATGTCATTTCGTGACAGGGTGGGGGAAGGGAATGTGAGTGTGTGCATAAAAGTAGCTCTCATGTTCTGGGCCAAGTATTGATAATGTGACAACCTCATTGTCCAAAGAGTATGACAGAGAGGAACGGTAGTTTCCTTCCAGCATTTAGATCTCCCACAACCTTTTCTCTGTCTTTTTTCTTCAAATTGGGAATGTAAGAAGGAAAGATAACCAAGAGTGTTTCACTCATTGGCTTTTCTTCAGGACCTGCTGCTTCTGTCATGTCTCCAAGAAAGCAGATTATTCTGTGATGCAAATATTTTATAATTACATTTTACAATCACTGATTTATTCAGATTTTTAGATTGTTCATAAAACTAGTATTTGGTAACAGCCTTTTGGCTGAATTTTCATCTCCTTTCCCCCTTGCTTGCTTTCTTGATAAGCTCTCTCGCAGGGTAGGTGATAGAAGGCTGTTAGTAGTGCTGAGAAGATTGTGGACTATTATGCTCTTACTTTTGTGTAGCACTAGCATAGTATTAAAGTGGAGGACAAAAATCAATAATGCCATTTCAGGGATCTTCAGAATCCAGCGGCATGGCCCCAGCAACATAGTCCCTATAATACAGCTTTGATTGCTATCAGCTCCTTTTATGTTTGAGAAATCTTTATATTGTTTAAAAATATATACTTCTGATGATCTATGTTGGGAGCAGGTGCTTCCTCCTCTGAAAATGCAATAATCTTAAAAAGTGGAAGAGCTCTTCTTTCTTGTCATTTCTCCTTGTCTCCCCTTTTATGGAATTACAGCATGTAATTTGCTTCATAGCTTTTAACGCATGTTCACAAAACCACTCCGTCTAGGCAGTATTTCCGTAGCTGGAGTGGGTGGCCCCAGGACAGCCTAGCCTTGACCTGAGGTGTATTTGTGGCCCAGAGCTGGTTTTTCTGTATCTATGAAGGTTAAAAAATCAGGGGGAGGGCCACTGGAGCTTCAGTGAGGTGTCGTGGAGAAAGAACATGGACAACTTCTATTGACTGGTAAGGGACATTTGGATAAAAAGATTTTGCTTCCTTCCTGACATTCTTTCTGTAAGGCTGGAAAACCAGAAATGAGCTGGTGGTGCTTTAAGCAGCCTCCTGTCATTTTACACTGAGAAAAGCCAGGGAGAGCTCATGGGAGCTACAGCTCTGAGGTCTTTAAAACTGTCCTTTTGCATCTCCGTATGTCCTTCTGTCTGGCTGTGAGGTGGTTAGTGTCTTGTAGTTGGAGTTGTATGAAATTCTTGCTCCTTCTAATACAAAGTTGTCACATGGTGTTAGGTGGTTCACGTTGCCTTGCTGGAGGCAGTACTCAGTATTTGAGACTTCGAAGAATGGGCTAGGTCTAGCCAGCCATTACATATCTGTGCAGGCAGGAAGGTGTGTGACCTGTAAAATTAATAAATAAAGGATTTTGGTGTAATTTCAAATATTAGGCATTTTTTCTCAAATCTCAATTCTGCTGCAGGACATACCAGGCTAACTGTAGTCACTTGTAAACTGTCTGGATTTAAATAATCCCCATGCTTATGCACAAAGCAAGACCAAACTACTAAACCTGTCTCACGAACTGTGGCTCTGTAGCCTTTGTGAGCACAGATTTAAACTGAAATACATTCTGTGTAGCTTTTTGGCATAGTACAACACATTAAATTCTTGGTGGGTGACCATGCATAAAACAAGATATATTTTTTTGAGTATTGTTAAAGTTTTTGTTTATAGCAAGCCCATTAATGTAAGTTGTTGAGGTATATTAAGTACACTTAAGTACTTCAAGTATATTTAAGTTTATGCAAAATATTAAATTTTTAAGATGAATTTCATTTTTTTGGAGCTGAAGTTATGTTTAAGCATATAGTGATTAGAAGTTTCTATTATTGAAAAAAAATGAGAAGAACATTTCTAAAATCAATCAATTTCATTTCAGACCTTAGCCTTTTCACCGCTGACCTCAGGTTCCTGCACAGTGGAAGCATGTCACTTAGTGATAACAGCAATTTGCCAGATCAAGTCCAATCTAGAAACTACCTGGTCAAGAGATTATTCTTCTACATAATGGAAAAGTACACTTTCTCTTTGACTTGCATACGCAGAGATTGTTTGGCCAAAGATATATTGGTCCACATGTGTATAAATGTATTCAGTATACTTTATACAATACAGTTGTATGTGGGAAGCACACACAATTAAAGCAGAAACAAGGACACAATCTCAGTGGCTTGTTGACCATGCTTTCATTGCATTACCATTTAAGCAGGAGTAGTTGTAAAAGCCTTATTTTCATGCTTGTGTGAGTTTGTGAGCACTATTCAGCTCCTGAGCTCTGTTCTCAGTATATTCACCTGTCCCTGCAGTGTTAAAACACCAGCTACTGTTGTTGGAATGCTCAGCTCTGTCTCCTTTCCTTTCCCATGCCAAAGTAGATTTTACCAGCCACTTATATGGGGTGTTATATGTATATAACACACACAAAATGACTAGGTTCAAATTGCAAAGTGCTAATCAAAAATGGATTGGAAATATAAAAAATAGCCATTTAATATCATAGTGCTTTCAGTTTGCAGACTACTAGTGCTTTACCTTTATGATCTTATCTTAAAGATTTGAAGGAAATTTGCTTACTATTCTGGTGAACAGAAACCATTTTTTTTAGAACTTGATAGGCAATGAATCAGCTTGGGTATTATTAAAAAAAAGTTACAGGAATAATATATTTTTATTAAATACTCTGCAGTGGAAGAAAAATGCACACTAAACTGCAACTATATGGGTGTGTATATCATACACAGACAGCAGCTATCCCAAGAAAATATGCAGCCCTAGTGCTCAACTGATATTTAGTCTGCTAATTCATTGTGTCTGTTGTTGAGCATTTGATGATGGTATTTTATTTTTTTTTATTCCCAACAACGTGAGTTTTGAACATCAATTCAGAAAGATTAATGGGATATGAGGGAGTATTTTAAAATAGACAAGAACACAGGAAACTGACTGCAGTTTATAAGGACGTAATCTATACAGAATGATGGACTTTAGTTGTAATTGTCCGTCTTCCCCTGATTACACTGGTTTTGTTTATATCCATTGAGTCAGTACTCTGCAAATTCAGCTGCTTAAATGCCCAAGGATATGGTAGATGCGAAGGGTTCTGTCATTCTTTGATGCATTTCAGTGCAAGTCATACACTTGTTTAAGGTTTGATTAAATTAAATAAAGACCTGGTTGTTATGTTCAAAGCAGGAAGAACCTCATCTGCTGTATTTATAGATGGACACGAATCCGGCACTTGCTCCAAAGCAGCACGGCTGTGGCAAGGCAGCATCCGCAGCATGGCTGTCGGTGGGAAGCTTGGGATTGCCCTGGAGTAGCTGGTAGCCAGGGTTTTGGGGCACGGATGGATGTTTGTTAGGCTGTCATGACATGGCTAGTGGTGGAGCAGTTGAACATTTAAAGCTCGTTAGAGTCAACTTGTATATATTCTTAATATGTAGGTGGTGGGTTAACCTTGGCTAGCTGCTAGATACCCTCACAGCTGCTCTCTCACTCTTCCTCCTCAACAGGATGGGGGAGAAAATAAGGTGAGAAAGCTTATGAGTTGAGATAAAGACAGGGAGGTCACTTACCAATTGCCATCATGGGCAAAACAGACTCGACTTGGGGAAAATTAATTTAACTTACTGCCAATTAAAATGGTTTAGATGGTGAGAAATAGAGACAAAAACTAAACAACAACTTCCACCAACTCCCCTTTTTTTCCAGGCTCAGCTTCACTCCTTCATTCCCAGCTCCCCTGCCTCTGAGTGGTACAGGGGATGGGGAAGGGGGGTTACGGTCAGTCCATAACAGCCCCACTCTGCCACTTCTTCCTCCCCACACCTTTCCCTGCCCCACTGTGATTTTCCCACAGGCCCAGGGGAGTCTGCTCAGAAACCTGGAGCTCCTGCTTCTCTTTCTGCCTTAGTGCTAGAAGGGCTGTTCCTCACACTTTTTTTTCTTCATTCTTCTCCTGTTTGGTGTTTTTCACCTTTCTTAAATCCATTTCCTCAAAGGCACTGCCAATGGAGCTGAGGGTCTGGGCAAGTGTCCAGCCATGGTGCTGCTGGAAATGCCTGCCCCACGGCAGCCCCAGCCTCTCCTCGTCAGGGACCTCTCAGCCCCGCTGCTGCCTCTGGGCAGGGGCACTTCATGCAATACAACTGATGAGGGCATCTGTCTCCTGTTTGAAGTAGCTCTCGGAATTTGCTCCAAGATGACCAAAATTGTGGCTGAGGTGTGAAAGGGAGGACTCACCAGGCTGGGTTTAATCTCTTCCTCATGGGCTGTGGGACACGGGCTGCATGTGTGGATCTGTCCCTAGGGACGGAGCTCTTCTGTGGCAGTTATCTACTGGTGGGACTTGTCTTTCTGGACAGGGTCATTCATAGTTTATTATCTTGGAGCATGGTCAGAGCCGCTGCGTGACACAGCCTCTAAACATTGCAGCAAAGATCTTCCCAGCGCCAATCAGTGAAGTGGAATTGTAAAATCTGCAAATAAAGGGTGGCGGGAAGCATCTGTAACACAGTGGTGACTGTGCTTGGTCAGAATGAATCAGTGGCATGTCATTTTGGTATTTAATAATCTCTATCAGTTAGCACAGAAGCTGTTTCAACTATAAGATACCTGGTAATTTCTGGTAGGAGTCTAAAAATGCTCTATTTGCTAGCTCTGCAAGAAGCAGCTCATTGTGTGTTCATGTTTTTCTTTTCTCCCTCTCCTCCCTCCTCCCCCCCCCCAAAAAAAAAAAAAATCCAAAAAATAAACTCAAAATTTTGGACAAAATCTGGGACAAATCACTTTGTCCTGAAGCATTTTCTTTCCTGCAGCCCTAAAGCCTGAGATTTACCAACTTTGTCAAAGGGCGTATGCAGAGGAAATCTGCACCTGCAGTTTAACACATGCTCTCCCCAGGATTTTGTTCTGGGGCAGGGGTACTGTTTTAACATACAGGAGAGAAGGCAGATGGGATAACTGAGCAAAGATGCAACAGAAAGATCCCTTTAAGCCAGATTTTAAATCTTTCTCTCAACTTCAGGGAGACCTTTGGCTCCCTTTCTCAATTTGGAGGAGCTGAATAGCAAGTGTGCCTACAGCATGGCCTTTGCAGGGCCTGTAGTGAGAGTCAGTGTTCACAGAAGAGCCTTCAGCTTGCAAACTGGAATGCTGTTTGCAATGTATTCAGGTTAGCACAGTTGAAGGGTTTGCCAGGTTTCCTCGGTGGGTTTTGTAGTCTCCTGTATTCCCGTGGCTCACTAGTCTGAAATGGGATTGGGTTTACTTGTGCGAACCACAGTATTGATGCAACCTATTATGGAATTGTGTACATCAGTCTTCTCCCAGCATTATCCTTTCTGTCAACATTTTCTGTTCCCTCTCTTCCAAAGAAAGGTAGCAGACCAAAAGACAGCAGGGATGCTCTGAAGGTGCATATTGTGCATGGCAGGAGCAGTTGCCATCTCAGAATTTGTCATGCTCTTCTGAAGGACATAGTATCACTAGGAGATTGAAAGTTGTCTTTGTATGTGGAGTATGCACTGACGTCTTAATGCTTGCTTTGTCAAAGAACGCTTGGGCTACTTTTAAAGAAGTTCTTTAGCTTTTCTTCTGTTAATGTGGCAGCCTTATTTTTGATGGCAGATTTATTTTTGATGCAGAATGAAAAAAAAGTCCTAAAGCTTTTAAAGAAGCAAAGGGAGGTGGTTAGAGCTAGAGAACACACAGTGTATAAAATAGACATTTTTGGTTGCTTTGTGTTTGTTGATTTATTAATTTTGAATGGCTTCTACTTATATGTTCTTTTTCTTGCATTGCAGGAGCTCTGTTACTACTGTTTACATTGAGGTCCTTCCGCCCAACAACCAGAGCCCTCCCCGCTTTCCCCAGCTGATGTACAGCCTTGAAGTCAGCGAGGCCATGAGAATTGGAGCCATTTTGTTAAACCTGCAGGTACAGGCGCTTCGCTGTAAGCTTTTACCACATTCCTTCTGTTGTGCCCACGCCATGCAGAACCCACTCCTTGCATACAGGGGGAAAGGACAGGTAATAGGGATTGAAAATAATTTAATTGTAATAAATAGCCCTTTTTACAGGGACCATGTAGGAAAAGTGCTTACCTGGATATTTCTGTAGCTTCTTTTTAGTGTTAAATGTGCTAAAAGGTACTGTAGGCTGCATATGGGACTGAAGTATATGAGAGAAAAATTCCCTGAATGGCTCAAAACTTGAAAACCTGTGGTTTCTTATATTAAAATCTCCCTGGATATGTTTGCCAGCAAATCAGAGGAGCTTAGGGGCTTCCGACCTAATTCATATGAAATTTCAGCAAGTTTTTTGGCACTCAGCCTATTTTAGCCTGTCTTTTTTCAAAAGCATCTGCAGATATTTACTCCCTTTGGTGTATGTAACAACTGCTGTCAACAGGCTAGCAGAAAGCAGAGGTCCCTATACTAACTGACCACCCAATAAGCTCTGGAAGTGGAAGCAGTGAAAGCACATTAGTCCAGTATTGCTTATAAATAATTCTGCATTGTCATAGTTTGCAGACCCAGGTTGCTTCTGTGTGTGCTGCTGCATGCTCAATATATCAGCTTTCTCCTAGCTTATTTATTGTTCTCTAAGTTTTTAGAATCATAGAATCATAGAAAGTTTTGGGTCGGAAGGGACCCCTAGAGGTCATCTAGTCCAACCCCCCTGCAGCGAGCAGGGACACCGCTAACAAGGTCAGGTTGCTCAGAGCCCCGTCCAACCTCGTCTTGAATGTTTCCAGGGATGGGGCCTCCACTACCTCTCTGGGCAACCCCTTCCACTGTTTCACAACCCTCATTGTAAAGAATTGCTTCCTTATATCCAGCCTAAACCTACCCTGTTTTAGTTTAAAACCATTACCCCTCGTCCTGTCACTGTTGTCTCTACTAAAAAGATTGTCCCCATCTTTCCTATAGGCTCCATTTTGCTCCATTGTGTTCTGTCCACATGTCTTGAAAGCCAGCAGTGCAAAATAGGTAGATAAATTACAGCTCTTCAGAAGTTTTTTTTGGGGATCAGGAACTTCAATATTATTATGAAATAAGTATGGCCTGGAGACTAAAGCAATAAACTCAGTACAGCATGCTCTCCTGAGCTTGGTTCCTGTAAACGTCATAGCATTATTCAGACTTCATATAAAGCCATTCAAAGGAAGAAGGCTGGAAATATCTGAGCTAAACAGAAACCATAGAGAGCAATAGCCCTATCTGCTTTAAATCAGTGTAGCTCTATTGAAGTCTGTTGAACTCAGTGGAATCAGGTCAGTTCATATCATCTGAAGTGTGTGGCTCTGTGTGTTTTGCACATTCAGTAAATACATGGAAAAAAAAAATTAATCCAAAGCAAAGTGTGTGACAAAAGGAACTGTAATTGAGTCACTGATGCAGGTGACTGGGTAAGTTTCTATTAAAATTGTTGGCTGATGAAAGATTAAGATTGTTATGGATGGTTAAGCTGATACAGTCAGCTGTGCTGAGGAAGGATGACTCATTTAGCTCAGTGCTGAAAATTAACTTCTGGCATGTCTTTAATGCCTGCAGTGAGTTCAGAACTGAAGAGCCATTCTGTTCAGTAGCCTTCTCCTCACTGCTGGGGAGATGCTTAGTTTTGGAAACCCCAAAGAGTAATGGGAGCCAGCAGCATGCTGAGAAACAGAAACGGTTATGCTTACTTGACAGGTACTGGCATAGATGGCCGATCTGTGGAGGGGGAAAAACTATTAGCAGATTTTAGTATTTTGAGGATTTTACGAAATTTAAATGTGATTAGAAAGTAAATCCCATTGTTGGAATAATCTGTTTGCTTTAATGTTTCACTAAACCCCAAATATTTTGCCTGGATTTTGTCTCCCTTTTCAAATGATCCTTGGTCAGGTAAGCTGAATAAAAGTGGGAGACAGCCTGTACCAGGCAGGGCAGGGGAGATGCAGAATGGTCATGCCAGTGACCCTCCTCCTAGGCAGGATGCTGATGAGCGTTTTGGTGATACAGCAGTGGGTGATCTCTTGCTACATGCCCAAGATCCCCAGAAATGACATGTTACTGTGTTTGGGAAAGAATGAAATTCATCAGTTTTAAGAGCTTTGGAGATGCGTAGAAAATGTTCGCTCCTACTTATTGTGACTGCAATGTAGATTTATCTTATATTATAAGCATGACTTGAATTCAGTTAGATAATTTCTGTTTATGAAAAATACTTCGTTGTTAAATCACAAATATGTGTGTCTTCATCTACTGGGGATTAGTCAAAGACTGTATCTCTTGTAGGGCTGGTGGTCCTGGACCTGAAATGGAGATGCATTGCCTTTATAGTGCAAGTTCAACTGCCTCATTCTGCATTAATACGCCCATCTGTATTAAAGGACTTTTATCGTGTGGAGTATATTTCTGTCTTCATCTCTTTTTATTCCCTGTGTAAAATTGACCAGGACATTTTAAACATTCATAAACTGAGTATTTAAGCTAATAAAATCTTGTGCTGTCCTTTCCAGGGATATAGAAAGTTACCAATTAGTCATCTTGGGTGTTTTGTGGAATTTTAACAATAGCTTAAGTTACTGCTTGTGTTCCATAGGTAATATGGAATGTTGCTAGCCTTCAAATATTTAACTAGTGTTTTCATGTGTAAATTTTCACACTGACATTTTCTTTCATGACTCGTCAATACATTAAATGTTTTGGACTTAAGATATGTTTTGGTTGGTGCAGGAGGCTTAAGAGGTTATGCTTTTATGACTCTCTCTTAATAATATTTTGTTAGTGTTGCATACAGCATGAGGATTACAAAAACTGGGAGAGAGCAAGCAAATTGTTTTAAATATTCCCAGGTTAGCAAATCTGAAGATCTGCAAAATATCAATGTCAATAACAATGCAAATGCAGCTGTTTGAAATTTGTCTATTAGACTTTAAAATACGTGTCCTAAAAATAAAATTTACTTTCTCCTTTTCTGTTAAAATTTTTCATGCAGATGATGGAAGGTTATTTTTTTTCCATACTATTATTTATATTATAATGTATCCAGTTGATTGTGACTGGTGTTTTAATTAACAACTTTTGGGATTCAGTAATGCAGTATTAAATGATGTCCACAGTGTGAATTTGTAAACAAACTTCAGAGTTTATTGCATGCCTGGGAGGCATTTATTGCTTCATGTTCTGCCATCCATTATTAATTAAAATATGCAAATAGTGTAATTTTTCTGGAAGTCTGCAAAACATATAGGACTGTTATCACGGTCCAGTTATGTGCTGAACAAGGAAGCAACATGAAATCATTGTGTACGATTTGTGAAGTCACTGTATACAATTGATCTGGAGAACAGTATGTAGAGATTACTCTTTTCTCATGTGCAAGTCTTCTTACATACATAATAACTTGCTGTTTTTTAATTTTAAAGAAAACAGAAGCTTTTTAGAACAGTGATAAACTTTTCCCCCTGTTTTTTTTAAGTATATTGATTGAAAGGTACATTTTATTTCGACATAGGGAGAAAATTAAGTGAATTGGAACCAGTCTTTTATTTTCTGTGTTTTCAAAAGTCTTCTGACTTGTTATGAATGAGTGTAGACTATAAACAAACCTCAGAGATACCCTTAAATGTAAAATGAGGACAGAATCCCCTGCAGGTAAGGTAAAAAGAATACAAAGAATCACTAAAGATAGAAGAAACAATGTGATTCTGGTGATTTAGTATCTATGCTAGTCCTCAGAGATGGCAGCTAGTCAGATTTTCTGCGTCCGGTATTTCTATAGTTTCATATGCTTGGCTAACAATTTTTCACTTGTCTTCACTGACCATTTGTATCTTCAGCATAAGAACATCTGAGTTCCACTCGCACCTTCTAACATGCTGGCACCTCCCAACACTCAGTGCTCTCCGTGGATTTTCTAAACAAATTTTCTGTTCTGTCACTGATGCTGTTAATGAAAATACTGATTGATAATGGAACAAATAGGCATAACTTTGCAGAATTTTGACAATACTAAACGCTATCCACTGCTGTCTGACCTTAATTTTTATGATGTTTTGTTCTTGCTTAATTCCGTCTTCCATTTGGAGACCATGTTGTCTAAACTTGTTTGTGAAAATGTCACATAAGACAGTGTGAAAAGTCTTACTATGGCTAAGATGCATTATTACATCCACAGCTTTTTTCCCTGTTTACAAGACCTGTTGTCTTGTTGTAAAAGTAGATTAGATTGCTTTGACATACTTTGTTCTTGAGAAATTTAGCTTTGTGTTATCCATCTCCATATTGTCATCGCGGGTACTTACAAATAACTTATTTCTAGTTTTCTGGGAATTGAGCTCTACCTGTCTGGTCTGCGATTTCCTAGCTCGTTCCTCTGTGAAAGATGTACGTTGTGTTTGCCCTTCAGCACGTTTCTCCTCTGTGAGTTTTCAAAGAAAACTGCTAATGGCTTTGAGATTGCTTCAGCCTGCGTTTTTATACACTAGGATGAATTTCATCAGGCTTTAATTTCAGCAGATGATTTATCTGAGATTTTTCCCTTTGATGCCACAGTTAATTTTGTTAGCTGCTTGATTGCAGCTGAAACGCAAGAAGTGTTAGCTCATTGACCTTCTCAACATCCTCCTTTCTGCTTTTATACTGTGGCAAGGTACCACACTCCTCAAGTTTCCTCTGTAATTTAAACATTTCTTTGTTATACTTTGTATTCTTTTCTGCTCCTATTCCAGTTTTACCTCGGCTTTTTCTGACTTTGTCCCCCTGTAGTTGTGTCTGCTTTTTCTTTATAGTGGTCCCTCCCATCTAATTTAGCCGCTATTTCTATATGCTTCCTTTGGTTAAGGCAAGCTGGTCTCTTACTAGATTGCCTATTCTGCCTGCACACTGGAATAGTTTGTGCTTCTGTTCATCATGTAGAGGGGGATGGGGAATGCTTTTTTCTTGTTTTTTTGGTTGGTTGGTTGTTTTTTTTTGTTTAAAGAACTGCTTTTTGGATGATCAGCCCAAAGATACACCATTCTTGACAGTGGTTGACAGGAAATACTTATGGAAATAGATAAGAAAAAGGATCATTGTTGAAAGATAAGAAACACAAAAATACTTTCTCCTTATCTTCTTCTTAATTTTAACCTGAATCCTCTTAAATCCTATCTGACCTTCTTTGAACTTGTTGGTTGGTCTTCTTGCAATTCTCATAGCAGCGTTTTTATTGGTTTTCCTGCAATAACATGCTTTAGAGTTTGAATGCTAAGTAGTTGTAACTGTGAGACAGCTCGGTAGGGTGGTATTTTCTCCGAAAAGCACCTGATAGCGTTTTGGGGGAAAAGGTGTATGTCCACTTGACAAAGAAAGTAACAGTTATATGGCCATTTTTGGAAGTAGATTAGCCAAAGCTGAATTTCAAAAGGATTTTACTCAGCTTCTGAAAAGCTGTTTGGTCATCTAGTAGGTGGAATATACTTGTTCGGGTGCTGTTAATAGTCCTTCTTGAAGGTCTCATCCTGATCTTCATTCCCCTCAAAAGCAAATTAGGGTGGAGTTTGAGTACTGCAATTCTACATTGCTCAATGGAGTATCAGCAAAAGGATTGGGATTCTGATAAACTAAAAGAAAGGAGAATCTGGATAAGAAGAGGAAATAAAGAACAGGAGCAAAGGAAACAAAACATTCAGTCTAATCAGCCTGTTACTGCACAAAAATAAAAGTAATAGAATAAAGCCTGAATTTCATACTTGCGATGCTGTGTGTTTATGTGTAGTAGTAAGCTGAAAATCTGTATTCAGGATGTTGTTGTTTCTCTGTAGAATAAGAATTCTGATGTGCTACAGCTTTATCTTAAGTAGCCCATCTATGATTACCACTGTTGCCTTAGAAATAGAGACAACAGCATCATTCATGTAGATAACTTTAGTAGAACTTCAGGGGTTAATTTTCCAGTTTATAAATGGAAGGAAAGAAAAGAAAGCTTTGTAACTAATTCAGTTTTATCCTCTTTTGTCCTAAAGGCTTTTGATAGAGAGGGTGACCCTATAAGATACCTCATTCAGAATGGAGATCCTCAACAAGTTTTTAATCTCTCTCAAAGGTAAGTGGAAAATTTTTAGAAAATAGACTTGTAACTTTTCAGTCAAGTGAATATGTGGGCTGAGAGCAAAAGTAAAGGCTTGTAATCAGACATATTCAGCTTTTCCTTGTATTGGCTCTTAGATGTTAATGAGAGCTCTGTGAATGGTATTGCACTCTGAAATTTTTCACAGGGGACTATTTATTTATTTTAAACACTTTAGTAGGTAAAACTCACTGAGGTGAAAACATTCTATTTAAAAGAGTGACCAGGGATTAATTAAAAACCTTATACTTGTCAGCTCTTGAATAATGACAGGGACAATTTTTGCTTTAGTTTCCTGCCTTCAAGCGTTTTAGTCTGTAGTGGATGGTCTTTTGAGCATTGTTCTAAAATCTCTTTTCCTTAAATAGAATATCAGCTTAAATAGTTAGGAAGAGAGGGTACATTATGAGATGATAAGCACCAGGTAGGTCTGTGCCTGTCCCACCACTCACTCCTTTATTTTACCCAAGCAATTGTTATTTACACTCCAAAGTATCTTTTTTTCTTTGCAGGAAGAAGGGAGGGTTGTGAGCTGACTTCCCATGGTAGATTTTGGGACAAAAATAACCTGGGGCTTACTTGTTCATGGTGTGGGTATAATTGCAAAAAATTGCTCGAATTTGGTGTGAGGGAGAGATTGTACTGAAACAGGTCTCTATATTCTGAGTAAGCTCTAGGTTGCTTGCTGTGATAAATCTCCCATATACAGAGAATCAAATCACTTATGAAACAATGTGAAAAAAGCCTTGAAGATCCCAAGAGATGCTGATGCTGTTATCCACCAAGATTGGTGGGCCCTCTAATAAAAAAGGCTTGTCAGACAAGGAAAGGGACAGCTTAGAGAGAAGAGACTGTTCCATTGAGGTGGCAAGAGCAGGAAATTGTGTTGGGCTGCTGGTCTTATTCATTGTTTAGGGCTGGAGTTTTCAGTAAAAATCAGGGAACATGTGCTTTGTTCATAAGCTCAGAGAAAGTGCTAGGAGTTGTACCTCCAGCACAGCCAGATTAGTAGGGTTTTCTGCATGAGTGATGCTAACAATGTTCCTTTACAGAGAGACTTGGTCTGACCCACTCTGTGACCTCTAGTACTTGAATAATGAGGAGTGTGCCTGGCTACATGAACGGTTGTCCTGGTTTCACCTGGGATAGAGTTAATTTTCCTCCCAGTAGCTGCTGTGTTTTGGATTTAGTAGAAGAAGAATGTTGATAATACATTGATGTTTTTAGTCATTGCTAAGAAATCAATGACTTTTTCCAGTCTCCCATGTTCAGCTAATGAGCAGGTGTGCTGGAGGTGGGAGGGAGTACAGTCAGGCAGCTGGCTCAGGCTGGCCGATATAAATATTCTGTACCATGGACATCACGCTCAGTTTATGAATGGGGGCTGGCCAGCAGGGGCAGGAATCTTTTTTCCGTGAGTTCGAACTTTTCCATGAGTTTGGCGAGTTCTGCAAAATTCATGAGTTCAGTAACACCTGCAAAATTTGTTTGCTCTGGGAAACCCGCAATTACTGCTTGGGGACTGGTCATGGGGCGGTGAGAAAAATTGTATTGTGTATACCTTGTTTTGCATATTCATTATTAGCAGTAATAGTAGTAGTATTTCCTTTGTTGTCTTATTAAACTGTCTTTATCTCAATCCACAAATTTCCCCTTTTGTCCATTTCTCCTCCCCATTCTGCTGGGAGGGAAGGGGAGGGCTGAGCAAGTGACTGTCTGGTGCTGAGTTGCTGGTGCTGGGTTAAACCACAACAGTGATGCTCTAAAGGGGGGTTACTCAGTGCTTAGTTGTTTTTTATAGTTTGTGCTGATCACAGTGCTGTTCACATTGCACTGTAAAAGTCCTTATAGTTCTCCATACCAGAGAGACTTAGAAAATGTGTGCAAATTCAGGCCAACTTCTTGCCTTCCAAACCTGTGGCGCCGAGTGTATTCTAGAAGTCAGATCCTAGGCAGCCCCGATATTGTCCAGCTTTGGATGTAAACAGTGTGGCGATACCCAGAAGTCAGGCTGTTAAAGGTGGCATGTGATTTCACAGCTGTGAATTCAGTCTGAAAACGAAGACATAGTCTCTGGTGTGCTCTCTGAAGGCTGCAGGAACAGCGTACCCCTCCGTGTCCACAGGCAGTGTTGCAGTTGTTGCAGATGTCACCTCCCAGAGTCTGGCAGGGATGGCTGGGCGTCCTCCTCCATCCCACCCGGCCTCCAGGGCCCATCGTGGGCAGCCTGACACCCCCCAGACAAACACACCCCAGCCTCACATTTACCCCACGCGTGTCTGAGCATCCCGGCACATTAAGGGTTTCAGTACAAACTCAGGCGTTTGTTTGTCTTTCTGATCTGTTCCCTCTTGGTAAAAAGGAGCGCTCTTTGAAATGTTTTCTTCTTCCTGCTCTCCTTGCATCTGTTTTGTTGGAAATTGTTTGTGCAGTTTTCTTCAGCCTTTTGTATGTTTTTTCTAGATGCTGAAATGTCTTGATAAAAGATTAAAGTAGGATTAATATTAAACAAAGCATACAGTTAACGTGAGAGGCATATTAAGGCTACAGGAATTTATCTGAATGTTACATAAATACTTTTTTAGATACTTTAAGGCCAAGGCAGAGACCATGTACATGATTCTTTCTCTTCCTTTTTCTCATCTGAATTATTTTCTTGAATCCTTGAGCATGTCATTTAATCCCTGTGTAATTCCCTAACTGGCGGCATGACTACTGAATGTTACCAGTTTTACATTTTACCTTCAGTCTGAGGATTGTGAGATGGTTTTGTTCGTTCTTCTTTGGCAATACAACCAGAACATAATCTGTCATAATTCGGTGCCTCCTTATGTTCCACAGAGAAAGGAATGATTACAAGACAGGCTATTAAAAGAATGCAAGTACACCTGAATCCTTGAGTAGAACACAGGAGTTTTTATAAATTAGCCTGTCTCTTGAATGATGCTCATCTATTGAAATAGAAACCATAGACTGCAGTTGTTCAAGCAGTAGGAAGGAGGAGATAAAACAGGTGGCATGATAGTGCAAAAGTATTGGAGAAATTTAGATACATGCAGCTAAAAGTCAGTTTAGTGAAGGAGTATTTGTTGTCAATATTTTATTTTTATCTCCACTTCAATCTTTTTTGAGGGTGAATTAATACTTTACCACACAAGTGTTTTATGGTTTATTCGCTGTTCCTTCCCTAAAAATTTCATCTGTTTGTATTCTATTGGAGTGTCTTGAACAAATGCTGAAATATGTATGTGATCTATTATGATATCCGATTGATTTGCTGAAACACCTAGAAATAAGAGAACTATTAAAATACAGAGCATAGTTTAGCATTTCATGTCAATTAATAATATGTCTGATTTTCCTACACCCCTCAAAGGAAGTTAATGGCTTTCTCAGTAGTGTCACTACTGTTTCAACATCTGCTATTTATAAATTATGAGAAGTTTCATTTAAAATTCAAATGGTCTTTAGTATTATAACAATAATACTAATTGAACTCAGCTGAATATTCCTTAGCAGAAGACAGTACATGAGAATGGAAGGAAAAATGAGATATGCAGTGTTCTTAATTTGTCACATACAAATTACGGGACAGGTTGCTGTAAAGCCCAGCACATTTACACTCGTTGCCTTCTTGTGGGCCATGTGTGGATGTAAACCTAAGAATTTACAACAGTCTAATTAAAGTCTTAATAGTCTAATCAAACAATTGTTTGTAGTCCAGTTACCGTAACAGTAATACAAAAAGCTAAAATTGCATATATATGTATGTTTTAGTATGTGTATATATATAAAAATATAAAATAAGCATGTAATTTATTTTGTGTATATATGTAATTTTAACATATATATATGAAATATATGAATGTGTAATTTTAACATTTATAGATGTATAATCATATGTATACATACATGTATTCTAATAATACATTATTCTAATAATACATAACTATATATATTTATGTACAGCTTTATATATTATCTATATATATCTTTATATATGTATATTACTAAATATATGACTAGATAAAAACCCTTATATAAATATATGCACAAACTTTCTAAGGTCTGTCACTTGCTCTGGTGTTACACTTTACCTTTCCACTTTTGCTTGGGGCCCTCAGGGCAGTAATTTCATCTGGAGCAAGGGTTTATGCTGAGTCTTCAGCATCTGAAGTCCTGCCCTGGGAGGAGGTGTATGATGCTGACGGTTTGATCCTTGTCACTCTAGGATCTATTTAGAGTCATCTTAAATTTTACTGCTTGTGGTGTTGTTTACATATGTGGATACTTGTTTATTGTTCTCTTAGTGACCCCAAACTGGTTTTGGGCAGTTGTTAAGGTTGTGTTTCTTTATCAGTAGTAGGCCACTGGTCAGGTGTTTGTAGCCCAAGGGCTCTGATATCATCCTGTCCCTGAACTTTCACTGAACTAGAGGCCACGTCTGTACTGCTCCATATATAGTTCAGTCTCCGCACCAATAACCATGCTATAGCTACCTATTAGTTACAAAAAATAAGTATAAAAATAGACATCACACTACACAATTGTACAAAAGTAAGCAAAAACTAAAACAGCATTGCTGTCAGGTACCTATTCATTAGGTAACTGCTGTTTAAAGGTAAAACCAACCTCTAAGCAGGCCAAGGCAAGTCCGTGCAAAGAAGCATGACAGGTCCAAGGCCCTGTTGTAGCTTGACACTATGCTTGTGGCTTGGGACAAGACATGTCAGCTCCATATTTACTGGGTTACAAAGCTGCACACAATATTTGTGTGCCCCAATGGTGTTTACCAACCTCCAGGAAGTATTTCAGGTACAATGAAGTTGCTAGCTTTTCCTTTTCTGGGGAAGCTGTCGTGGGTTTGGCCAGGACAGGGTTAATTTTCACCAGAATCCAGGAAGGGGCACAGCTGGGTGGGCTGACCCAACCCCAACCTGGCCAAACAGAGCCGGGTATTCCATACCATGTGCCAT